GAAAGGAATGAGCCAAAAGGAAGGAAACAGTCACAGGAATGCTGGGCTATCATGTTGACTTATAAGTTGGGTCGCTAGGCAGAAAGCCTCTCGGAGGAGAACGTCGATAACCTCCAGTGGCGTTTGGAGTGACATCGTTCGTCAGATAGGAGAAGCTCCGACTGCCCGGCCACACCCCACGGAGAACGCAGGAATGGATATTGGTAAGCAGTTCAGCAAGAATGAAGATTTTCATTTCGGAGAGCCCGTTTACAGCGCAAAGCCCATTGACATGACAACGGATGGCCATGGATCAGAATATTTAGTCCATTGGTCAAGCAACAATAGATGGGATATCAATGGGATGTCTCTTATGAAGTGGAATGCATTATCGGAAGGCAAGCATGGTCTATGAGTTGATACCCCTCCAGATATCAACCCTCTGGGGGACATATTGACACAGCACACTTCAAGTTGGAAATATCCACTTTTTCCGGCTCCAAGGCTCGAATGAAGTGGTCCAGCAAATTGGCAGAAACACAGCAGCGCGCTGCTCGCTCGACATCATAAGGGCGAACCAAAGTTGCAAAGTCGATGAGGCTCAAGGAAATGGATACCACCCCCATAAACGTCGAGGGATAAGTTTCCAGTCATATTAGACCAGGCGGTTGGGACCCACGAAGTCACACCGAGCGAATATGACCCATGTGAATTCCCTTGGCTGCTAATGTTAAGGATGGGTGGCGGTCTGGATACGATGTTGTCGTGGTAAGTCACAGGCATCAATCCGATTTTGACGGGAAGGTTTCGCGGTGTTCCCTGCCGAAAAAGAGACTTGACTAGTTGTGACCAAGACGTATCTTAGTCGCCCACAAGAATACATCTGTACACATACTAGAATCATATCAGGCCCTAGCTGTATTGATGTCGAGGTGACCGGGTATCGCGGGCTTTGCAAAAACAACCAGAACGGCTCAGCGACATTTTCGATCCGGCAGCCCAAGTGGCGTAGAATAGTAAGTAGACAGTTCGGCGATGATTTTTGGCTCCATTCGGCCCCGATGAAAGGTCCTCGCGTCAGAAAGATGTGGGAATTGCCTTCAGATGTATCATATATCCTTCATCAAAGCGAAGAGTTGGGGTCTGATAATAACCTTGTAAGCGGCCAAGGGCCACTAATATTTTATAGGAATAGTGTGTATACAGAGCCGTATGACAAATACCCGTATGATCTGTTTTTTTTTTTTTTTTTTTTTTTTTTTTATCAAGATCTGTATTTTAATATTTGTGCATTCATTACTTCAATAGAAAGGGCCACAGAGTATGCTATAACAAATGTAGAATTTATGGAGGCAGTATCCGAGACATTTTCAGTGCAGTGAGTGGTTCTAGTCGCTCGAAGCAAAAATCACACCGCATGGGATGATATATTGCTGCTATGGCAGGCTATGTGGTTAGCATATATATCACAGTGTGTATGAGCAATGGATCTCCAGGACCTGAACCGTCTTTAGTACAGGTGCAGCAGACATTCAAAGATACTCATTAAGTATCGTAAGGTGAAGTGATAAAGCATCAGAATATTCAAGATGTTCTCAATCACGACAATACCGATCCGGATTACGAGGAACAGCTAAGTATATGTATGGGCTATATATTCACTGTGCCTCTAAAATATTAGTGGCTCTTCGCGGTGCGTAATGATCTCGAAAATCCGCATAAAAATTTCGCCTCTGCTTCTCACCTCAGAAGTGGATTGGATGAATACGCTGGAAGAAATGAAATTCATTTTTTAAACCCAGCGTCTTGGCTGCCCGAACGCTGTTGAGGAATGGACTGGGTAAGTTTGTCTCGCGGAGGCCTGCGTGCACGAAGGAAAACCGACGCTGCATGCCACAACTTTACCTTCCTTGCCAAATGGCGCTGAGCTGATTGATAGTTTTCATCCCATCCCTTGGGCATCTAAACGCCAGCAACAGCCCACCAACTGATTTTATCCCCCGCCAAGCAGCAAAATCTCAGCCTGGGTTGTCATTTGTCGGCTAACAGAAGTAGCGTGAGCCATTCTTTCACTGCGGGGCATCGATGGCCAGGCGCATTGCCACCCTCCATCCGGTTGGGGGAATCGTGATGATTCCTCCAAAGTCCGCTCCCTCACAAAAGGGAACAGCGAAGCCAAAGCAAACGTGGTGGACAGTTGGACTTTGGAGGAAGTTGATTTAAAGATCTGATCGGCCGGCTGCTTTACTGGAAATGGAGGGCGGGTGGCCAGTACGCCGATCCCAACACAAGGACAAATCTGCTGTTATTTCGGGGGAATTTGTCAAATTCCAGGATTCCGGGATTTCTGTGCTAGACTCGAATCTGGATAGTTCTCGTCACTGTTCAATTTTGACATGTTGTTCCCTGAGTCACGGACTCCCGCAGCACGGCGAAGCCCCTTTAAGGAACGCCGACCTAAACCCCTCCACCAACTTTCTTTTTGAGGCTTTGAGTGGAGGTTCGATCCTCTAGCACAAATAATCCAGGCACCGTAACACCATTGGTCACTGATCTGAGCCAAAGCCATATCTCGGGAATTCCAAAATATTGTCTCGCGCATACAGACCAGCCAATAATGTATAGCAGTTGTTCTCAACGACACTTATTACTGCTACTTCCGCTTTTTCAACGACCACGAACGTATCAATTGATAATTACATTTAAAATAACCTTCAATACCTGGAATAATAGCCATTATTCCAGCGGCCCTGAACTTTTCCCCCTTCCCTCGGCAATGATCGGACCCCACAAAGAGCGCTATTTGCATGAGTCAAGCCACCTTAAAGTTACCCAGCGTGGTGGGTCCCTGCTACTCCATGGCCTGTCCATCATGCAAATTTCGGTTACTGCGACGAAGGATCGATTTCGATTCTAGACCCTTCGAAGCAACCTTTAGTCAAGTGGCATGGGTTGGCATATGCTCGAAAAGAAAATGTACAGTACATTTGTTCGAATTTGTGGACATCTACAATTTGGCTGAGTCGCATCCACAATCGCAACCGTGGAATCCAGCGAGATTGTCGGGCAGGATAACCGTATACTCGAACTACAGTGTAGCGAGAGGAGAAAGAATCCGTTGCAAGGATTCGAATCCTCTGGGGACAATTGTTGGGCGCAAGAACCAACAGTTAGAAACGGTCTCCAGAAGTTGGTAAAGTCGGGTATGATTAGTGCTTATGGGAGACTTGGAATATCCTAAACGTTAAAAGAGCCTCTCCCCCGACTGTGAGTTTCCCTTCGGCTACAGCGATCTCTCCGGTTGTTCCACGGCCGATGTCGCTAAGTGCAGAAAAAAACAAACATTCGCGCCGAGATCTCGATTCTTCCCTCGCCCTCAACAGCCACAGCGACGCAGGAATGCAGTGGCCATCGACGAGTAGGGATCCAGCTGGGCCAATAATGCCAGGTAGCATTAACACATTTTGTTATCATCCTGGGGTCTATGTATGTGGAGTCTGTTGCATG